GTGCACGACATTTTGATGCGTTTGCGCATCCAGCATGAGATAAACCCCCCTGTATAGAAATACTTGGTAATTTTCCCCGATTCCTCTTTATTATCGTGCCGGTAATTTTCGAGGCAAACTTCCAGCTTCTTTCCTTCTCTGAAACCATTTTCACGTGCGTGTATTCACTTCAGATAACTTCAGAAATTATCATTCAAGAAAATCTAGGAATATAAATATAACCATATGTAATCTAAGCCCCATTAACGACAAAGTCCATAATCCATAAAACTTTCACAAAAGTAATTCATATCAATCATAGATAGTTTGGATTGTACGACATATAGGTATTTTAAGCATTTTGATAAAGTGTAGCTATACCGATATATTTTGATAATCAAGGTAGTATCAATTTTTTCAGTAGAGTTATTGATACTACTCAAAAGAACAAACATTTGTATTATCATAAAATTAAATAGATTTGAATACAAACAGGCAGAATATTTTTTCTGATAAATATTTTAAAGATTTCAGTTATTTACAGTAACATCAGTCTGCTTACGACTGGAAGTATTTTTCCGTAATCCGATAGTAAATATTAAATTTTTCAAGTCGGTGTCAAAGAAAATAGTGACTCAGAATGACGCTCTAGTAAAAACCAAAGTGTAAAAAAATATCATAAATTAAGAAGTCACATGAATTTGTGAATTACGATTTGTGCGAAATTTCCTGCTTTCATTTTATATTTCTTGCGTTATTTTACACACAATTTATTTTAGTTATATATCGCTCTATTATTTCCAATAAAATCAAAGTACTCATGAATTATAAAATATCGTAGTTCCCGAAATGATCATACAAACAAGTCTACTAAGAGATTATCTTAATCGTAATTATCCCTTGTTAATGCGTGCTTAAATCATGTTGTTAAAAAGAATACGGCCCTCTATCAAATAATCCGATTGTAGTGTTGTAATACTTTAGAGTTTGTGAAGCAATTATTGTTTGAATATTTTCTTTATTGTCAAATTCTTGTGATATAATTCCAAATAGTAAAGACTAACACGAGCCTTGCAACGAGCATCGAGGTTCATAAAATGAAATAATTCTGAGAATGATTCCTAATATTATATACCTAACGTTATTCAATTTTAGAAAGATTAAAGTAATAACGAATTAAGACTAACTTGCAATAACAAAAGAGTTATTATTTATTGGTGAGTAATGAAATAAGAAATGACTGTTAAGTTCATGGTGCTCGAGTGCAGTCAAATTTGCAGAATAATTTATACAAGCCAAAAACAAGTCTAATGCACATTTCACGTTTATAAGCGTTATAAGAGACCATGTATAGTTCGCAAGCAACTTTAGGTTGGTTAAAATTAATTTCAGACAACTACTGTCGGCAGTAACACAGGTCACCTGCTGGCTCTGTCGCAAAAGTGCCAGTTATGCACTATTAAACGCAACCCGCGCGAGCTACTCTATAATTCAGAGTAATAAAGCTGCGAAAGTGAGCCGTTAATCCACGGGGAAAGTGTCGAGAGAATTTCCCCATAGGCGAAAAAGACCTGTGAATCTGAAAGGCGTTGGAAACGGAAAAGAGGGTCACATCATGAAACTGCTGAAACGAGCACTCGCGCGCTCCCGACGATAGCGTCTTTCGGAAACGAGCTATGTCGAGTAGTCAGAGTCGAGCGTAGGTCAGACTGCAGGGTGGGCTATAGCGTCGTCCCTTGGCACAAGCTGCAATTACGAGTAGATCCAGGAAACGTGCACGCTCAAAGAAGCGAATCTGACTCCAAAGTCTGAAAAATCCAGATAACGTAGCAGAAAGACTCATCCCATGTTTGATTATTGACTTTTGCTCGTCAAACTTGCAAACATGCTAAACATTATGCTTGCTCGCTTCTTCGGCTGCCGTATGCATTTATGCTATTTAGATAGGATTCTACGGTCTGGATTCAACTTGCTAACCAATTCTCTCTCGGTTCGTAGTCGTGGCAAAACTTTTTGGTCGCGGCGCTCTGCTTCGATATCTTTGTCAAGTTGAATGTTTCATTAGGTTTGCTGTGAATGATGTAGCAACTGTTTCAAGCCTGTAATGCACAGATTAAGACTATTAGAACTACGGAAATTACCATAATGAAGTAGACTATCAGCTGCATATTTTATATAAATGCTGCACCCGTTCAAAAAAGAATATAACGTAAATAATGTAGTTTCTTTTTAATTGAGATGTACGAAGCTTTTAGCAAGAAGACAGAGAGCTTTATATGACGTGACCTCATTTTCTCAGCGCGCATCTCGCTGAAAAATTAGTACCGGTAATCTTACGATAATCTTAATTATAATGCAGATAATTGTTCGCGCCTAATCACAATTAACGTACTATAAACAGCAATCTTTATTGACTGTAAGAATAGGAGCGTACTACTCGATAAAATACGAGTATGTGGCAACATTGGAGAAACAAGCTACAAGTTCGCCAGTTCATCTCTACGCCAATTACATTAACCGTAGACGAAATACAAATTAATTATAACGCCGGGAAAAAATCCACTGTAACAAGACGTATAGCAAATCTGCAGAGTTATTCTAATTAATTAGGAACGCAAGCGAATTGTCTTACGTAGCTCACGCATTGAAAAAGTCTCGTTGCCTGCAGCGAATAGCTTTCGTTCATTCGATAAAGTCGAGTAGCCAGTGCGCTTTACGCCAAGAGTTTCCAAGATGATATAATTAGACACCCGTCAAGTGTTTTCGGTAGAGTACAGTTATATTTTGACAAGCAAAGTTAAACGAACTCGCACTTCTAAGGGAATTTCATCCTCTGCTTCGGACATGCTTGGTTTTCATTATATTGTCGGAAAGCGAAGCAGCAATTGAACGTGAAATTCAGTCTTGTTGTTTCTTTCCCACTCCAATAACATTTATTGCAAAGAAATAAATTGAACTAAAGTAACTAAATCCACTTGTCATTTTCCTGGACTTATGTATTAATAAAATTGGATGTAATATCAAGAGATTCGTGGATTGAGTCGAGAGTCAACTGACTGTTGACTTGATATACTTTGTCGAAAAGACGAAACCGTCAGAGCTACAGTAGCTATCTTTCGTATATTGGCAAACTCCTAGAATCTTGAAACTCCATTCGTGAAAGTCACGTCTGACTGTTACAGTGACATCTCGTGTAATTGAGGATCTCCGTCCGTGATCAATATTCATGATTAAAGTTGCCTTTTTTCTATAAATGTCGAAAGAATTCAACTAAAAAGCGCCAAATAAAAATCCCTACTAATATTCAATTATATCAACTTCACATAAATATACGAATGAAACGAAGAGCGATAGTTGCTTCTGAAAACCAATTTCTACAATCTCGTTCTTTTCATTCGGCTACATATATCCTCTTCTCTCTCTCTCTCTCTCTCTCTCTCTCTCTCTCTCTCTCTCTCTCTCTCTCTCTCTCTCTCTCTCTCTCTCTCTCTCTCTCTCTCCCTCTCTCTCTTTCGATCCGAGATCAGAACAAAGCATTTTTGGGCTGAATCCTTGCGGGTTTAAAACTTCCTCAAGATGGAATCCTGACGAGAAAATTAATAGCAGTCGGAACTCTGAGTAAATTAATTAAAAGCGACAGATTATTATCTATCTTGCCTGTTCTTCATTAAGATAGATGTACACACTTTTTCACTTATACAGGCACGATTATTTTTGTTTTTTATATTGACTGATAAACTTTTATCTCGATCAATTTACCTTACAGTTAAGCTTATAAACCGCATCATACTGATTTTAAACATTTCATTTGATCGTCTAATTATGCAGTCGAGTATTAATTACATTACCTATACTAATCAGAACAAAAAATGATCAAACAATTATTCACTAATTTTTTACAAACAGTACTTATAATAAGAGAATGTTTTGAATTAATTACTATTTGTTTAGAGTAAAGATTATTCAGACAAAATAATGTATTTTCACGTCACCGGATATAACTATCATAAATGATCATACTCACACGTACTCTATTTGTGCAGTGTTTCCTGTTGGTTTTGCATTACTGCAGTAGCTTTGTCACTGTAGTATACTAAACGGCAATTATGCCCAGACCGTATCACGTATCTTCAATACGCTAGTGACTTAATAATATATGTTGCATTCTTCATTATTGAACATTATGAAAATGTCGCACATTTGCTGAAATAAAAAATTACGTTACGCAAAATATTACATTTCCATAATTAAATTAATCATTTAATTGCGTACCTAGTCGAGATGACCTGATAAAGTGATACTTTCATGTATAAATATTGATCGATTGGCCTCAGAAAGCCCCCTCGGGATCGAATATTTCTAAAAATAAATAAGCGAAATTTGATGAAATAAATGTTCATCGAATATGTTTTTGAAACCCGCAACGTCTTTATCTGGCGTTACCGTTGTCTATCCGTCTATTTTTGTCTTGCTAGCTCACCTGTGCAGGTGTTCACCTTACCTGGATATGCGTTTCGCGTTACGTGGAGCAAAGTTCAAACTCAAAACACACGTCTGGAAGGCTGCTTCATTTGGCTCGTATGACTTGTCGGTTTTTCTAAATAATTGTAATAATTGTGTCTACAATGGTCAGCGTTTGCGTGCAACGAAAACTAAATTTGGAAGCTTTAACGAAAGAGCGAAAGGTGAAGGGACGAGTAAGGTAGATAAGTAAGTAAGTAATGGGAAAGAATTTGCGCTGACGTATAAGTAAAGGCAGTGAAATTGCCGGGCGCATAATTGTTTTGATCCTGAAATGAAACGTTCGCGATCTGGTGTCTGGCTTGAGCATTCCCACTGCAGCAATATCTGGATTTGTTAACGAGCATGCGCATATCCTTCTGTTCGTTTGGCGGGTCTAGGCGCAAACGGGGAGCAGCGCATCGCAAGCGCGCGTAGGGCGGCAAAGTGGCGAGGAAAGAAAACGGACGGGAGCGCGCACGTATAGCATTAGCTAAAGTAGTAGGGAGGCAGCGCGCGTGGTGGCTGAGTCCAGTGTACGGCGGCGGCAGCAGCAGCAGCAGCAGCAGCATGCGCGACTACGACGACGCGCGGCTGGCTGCTCTCGCTCGCTCGAGAACGCCAACTCGCGGTTGCGGCGCGCTCACGGCTTCAGTCAAGCTCGGACTGCGCGCACACGCGCCACTCCAGTCTGCCGCTCAGCTGTGTGCGTGCCTCTCGATCTAGTGAGTGCCTCTGTATCAATGGTCGATCGGTGCCCATCGCCACCACTCTCGCCGGATTATCAACGACAAGTACGTCTGCCTTCGCTCGCGACCGACAAAAGTCTCTTTCTCTCCGCGCACAAGCTCTGCCTGCCTCGCTGTCCTGGACGGCCGCGCCACGGAAGCTACGCTTCGCTGGCAAACTGTTAGACGCCGCGGAACCGGGCCAAAGTGTTTCTTCGACGTAATCACGAGCTCGCGGCTTCCAGAAACGGAGCGCGCACTCGCGTCGTCGTATCGTTCTTTCGTCGGCGCCTTTTGTTGCAGCGAGCGCTGCAGCAAAAATACCGAGTCCACGGGAGCAAAAGGAAAACTCGATTTCCATAACAAAGCCCGCGCTCGGCTCGCGGTTATGTAAGGAAAGGCCGCGCGTCTGCAACGGTTAATTCGCAGCCGCGTCTCACACGACACGTTACGTATCGCGCGCGCCAGCGGCGGCCTTTGCTGCCTTTGGGATTCGCGCGAGCGCGCGCGAGGTGAGTGTCCGCGGGATGCTGAGTCCGCGAGAAAAACCAGCTGCTCGTTTTGCCCTGTGATAGCTACGTTCCGCTTTCTCTCTTTCCTATCTGCAATCTCCGCGTGGCGTCGCGCATCGTGCATCCGCCGACCACTTGCTTCTTGCAACATTTACGTTTACCGTTCGTTCTCGCCTCGACTTTTTCAATAAACTGCTTTTTCGAAATGACGCGCTGTGCTTTTCCAAATTTCGATTACTCTCTCTTGACGGGCTTCTAGATTTCACATTCTAATTAGTTGCGTTTCAAACGCTAATGTAGCTCTCACAACTCGCTCGCGCGACTTCATTAATAAATTCATTTTCAGGTTTGAAAAACCCGCGATCAGACTTCTTTTTTAATAAAAACTCGTACTAGTACTTCGAAAGTGAGTAACACTCGAAATACATTCGAAAATATTTCTGGCTATGCGAATTTTCGTCCGCGCTACCGGCCGTCTATATCGCTACGCGTTTTAATTGGCTGGGTAATAAACAGTTAATTAAATGACAAAATATTCGCCCTCGTTAACAGAGAGTACGTGAGATTATTTCAAAATAAAAAATTGATAAAACTTACTTGGCCATGGATTTTGTTCGAATTCGGTGGTTGTATTTGTTACAACTCGAGATACAATGTCGCATTGAACTTGATTTCACCGCGGGAATTCCGAGCGCATGAATCATAGAGAGAGAGAGAGAGAGAGAGGTAAGGTGGTTTATTGCACGGGTAAATGAGTTATAGCGCGGAAGGTAACCTAATTTGTATGGCATTATTTTCTGGTATAGGTGCGCGCTCTTCTGTAGATAATCGATTGTTATAAAGCCGATGAAAAAGCTCACTCATACGCAGGCAATTTATTTATTGTGCTAAAAGTAGAGCGTAAAAGCCTTTTGCATCGCGAGCATGGTGATAAATATTAAAATCTGTCATCGATCGCGCCGCTATGGGGAGAACTAAGCAGAGGCGTTTAAACGACAGCAAAATAAAGCGACCTTCTCGCGGCATAAAATAACGCGAGCGAATATTTAAGAGTTGCCAAAATTCGTGGACGAGAGCTTTGCAGAGGCTGGAAACTGATATCGTTCGAACGAATCGCCACTTGCTACGTGCACGGCTTTGCCCAGGCGAACATTTGAGAGGTCGGTCGAGCGGCAAAACGGCCAATTAGCAGTGCAGCTCGCACGGGCGCGCGTCCGCGTGGTAACCACTAATTAATCGCGCCACCCTACCTTTCCGAAGCTGTCTCGCTGCACGCTCGACGTGACAGCGAATGCCTGCTGCTTGGTTACAGCCAATGCAACAGGGCCAAAGTCGACAGCGGAATAACACGGACTTATCCAACTTTTTTCGTCGTTGTCAATCTCATGGCGAACCGGTGTGCGCGGACTGCTATTTACATTTATATTAGTCGCTCGGTTTTTCCTTCTCCGCCGTCTGGCCGACTGCGAGGAGGTCCCTGACCCGATCAACGGAGCCGCGACCGATGGATATCCCAACGGCAATATGATGCACAAGAGTTAGCGTAACGAGTCGTCCGGAAGCAGCGCGTTAGAGAGAATCGTCCGTCCGAAATAGCGAGCCCCGCGAGTTTCGTGGACGATCGCGCGATCGCACGATCGCATAAAGCCCGTCGGAGTGGACGATCGTATCGCGTGTCGTCGAACGCGACGAACAAAACAAAACAACGATGACGACGACGGACGCGCGTGAGAAAGAAGAAGAGCACGTTCGCGCGTGTGCGCGCGGAAGGCTACGAGCTGATATCGAGAGAAGGAGACTTTTGTATTTGTTTCGCGGTAATATTGGCATAGGTGTTATTTGTGCTCAGTGCTACTCATTCCTGTTACTTCCACTACTGCTGCTGCGCTACCTTCAAAATTGCAAGTTTAGTGCCGTTAGCTCGAGAGAGAGTTCGTGCAATTTCCAAGAGATCTCTTCGCTTTAGATATACGTCTTACTTGAGCTGCCGCTAACAATCGATGATGATTGATGCGCGCGCTCTCCCTCTCTGTGACGTATTGTCGGCGTATTGTCGAGAGGATTTATTGCCATTCGCCTTTTGCAACCGATACTCGCAGTGAATGTACTCTCTCACTCACTCGCCGTATGTTGTGTGCGCGTGTGTCTGCGATGTAGCGATCGACAAGAGCTTTTCGCCGATGTATCGCCGAGGAAGTGCTCCAACCTATTGTCAATTCCATCATGACTGATTTCAGTGTTATCTCTTGTCACGCGCTATTCCTTTAATCGTAATCGAAATGTACAATGCCAGTATCGTTGTATGCCAAGCTGCTCGGTCCCTTGTAAATATTTTGCAATGTTTGAAATTTTCCGCTGATAGGATGGGCAGTAATTGTTTCGCACTATCGCTCGTACCGAGAGATTTATTTTTTTGCAAAATTGCATTTCATTAGAAAGCTCTGTCTCTCCGGGCTTAGCCAGGTTTATTGTTTATCGTCTGGCCGTTAAATCATGCTTAAAGACAGCTAATATTTTTTCGGCGATATATCAAGTCTTTTTAGTAAAGAAATATTGTTATTTTGGAAAATGTGTGTGGCTGCGTATTTGGAGTGGGTAGCCAGCGATCGATAAAAGCTGGACGCTTACATTTTATGTCCCCTATTCCGTTTTTCTCAGAACGCACGAAAAACATATGTCCTATAAATATTTTAGAAAATTCAAATACATATTTGAGGAGCGTTCGAGCGAAAATCTACTTCAAAGCTGGATTTTTCGTATAGATCTATTTCTATGCAAGGAGATGAATAGTGCATCAAGTGCCGTCAATAATATCTTGATTCAGCCCGCGAAAAAAAAGTTTGATTGTAACCAAGAACAAACTCGGGGTGCATCGGTAAGCAACATCGCGGATATTCAATATTCCAGTCGCTAGAGCAGTTCGTAAAATGCCAAAGTGCAGAACTGTGTTTCCGTATCTCTTTCTCTCGTGCGATATTGCTGAAAGTCGTAAAAAACTTGCAAGTCCGTTAGAGACCGAGGAGAACTGCTTTGCATACTTGCATATGCTAACGAGAGCTCGCAAGATATAGTCGTCGCCGAAATTAAACGCTCGAAGCAGCACGGTAAACCGAACCGCGCTTGAAGACTCGACTGCGTCACGCCTACGTAACAAGGATGAAAAAGAAAAGACAGTGGGTGAAGCTCGCAAGATGACTGGAAACTCTATGCGTGCGAGCACGTGTACACGCAGGCAAGAGAGCGGGAGAGAGGCAGAGAAGGATTGACTTTTTAAGGTTTCACTTGCAGTGGACATTTAGCCCGCTGTCCCCAAGATATTAGCGACTGATCGAATTAAAGGGCAGGCGTGCTCCACAAAGATGCGCGGCGCTTTGGCGCGTGCACATCGCTTGTTCGCGTAATCAGATCGATTATGCCCGAGCCCCTGACGGTCCAACGCGTGCGATCATTTATCGCGCTACATTCTGCATGAAAACCAAGTTTCACCAAAGCTTCTGCATCAACATGCAGACGTAGTTATCTCCACAGAAAACATGCTTGCGAAATTCAGCTTTCAAGCTCATGGTTTTCAGCTTTGAGCATCTTCTTTTGAAAATGCAAGCTGCACCTTCCTCCTCGCGTCACTCGACATAAGCTTATTTTATTAAATTCTTTGTCCAAAAATGTTAGCGCGCGGTAAATGCAATTTTCATGTTAGAGACCCCCTCCCCCTATTCCTTCTTCTCTTTCGAGCGTGAGTATGTATTTCAAAGCGAGCATTATATACGCGGAGGAAACAAATATTCATTCGATTTTTTCATCGACGAAAGCGCAATTTTGATTAGATAAAGCCAGCGCGACAACTGCCTTCGTAAAGAGGCACCATATTCGTTCCCATGACGAATTCTACGAATTTATTGAATAGTAACATAAGCAATTCTGCAAAGCTCGCGAATACGACGAAAACGGAGCACCAGGCAGCAACTAAAATCGACGAGGGCCAGTTGATGAAGTACGTATGAGTTGGCACGTGTCTGAAAAGCAGAAGAAACGAAAAGAAAAAGAAGAGGCATGATGTAATTTTGTGTGTCAGCCTGCTGGCGTCGGTTACAAAAGAGACGGCGAGGAATGCGTCGAATACCCGACGAAACGCGGAGACGCGAGCGGCCGTCTGGGAAAGGCTTTAAAATTAGAACAAAAGCTCAAGCTGCTATATAGCTAATGATCGGCGCGCTCGTGTGACTCACTCGCGATCGCTTTTCGTCGCGCTGCTGCATCTGTTCTGCATAAATCAACAGTTTCAGCCGCGAGTACATCGCGCGCGATATATACACGCATACGTGCCGCATGTCCCGTCTCGGCGCATAAACAGAATTCTTGGTGAGCCGCAAATATGCGCGCGTAGAGTTTCTTAATAAGGTTGCAGCTGACCACTCGATCCGCGCCAACCGAGCGAGGATTCCCATTATTCCCCGGGACGCTCGCTGTCTTCTTTCTTCTCCGAGAAATGTGCACTCTATCGTACAGATATCAGCCAGCCTCTGCTTTTGCCAACCTCTTTTCGCGACATTCCCC